ACTTGAGAAGGATTTAATAAAAGGATTATTTACAAGGGTGAAGGCAAGACATGGAGAAGACAAAAGGTACCATGCTGGGCTTGGGGTTCGCAACAATGGGGCTAGTGCCCCTCAGAGCATGGAGTGAGGAGGAGTGGTTACTAGGGCCAGGAAGAGAGACTCCTGTGTGGACGACAGCAGGAGAGAAGTGGACTTTTAGTTCAGCGAATACAACTCTAATCTCTCCCTCTGGTCTCCTGCCAGGTCTCCCATTGGCCAAACCCTTCCTGTGCCAGGAGTTTTATTCCATGTCATTTAATTCTCACAAGTAGGTGGTACCAGCTTCACTTTTAGCTGGGAAAATTGTGGCTCAGAAAAGTTAAGCAGCTTGCCCAAGATCAAACAGCTAATAAGAAGCTTTGCTTGAGGGGCTGGGGATTTAGCTCAGTGGTTTCGCCACCTGCTGCGCAAGCGCAAGGACCCAAGTTCAGTCCCCAGTACCAAAAAAAAAAGAAGATTTGCTGGGATTCAAACCCCTCCTACCTACCTAGTCACTGAGCCAGAGGCCCTTTCTGATTTGTGAAAACCCTAGGGGGAGCTATTGATCAGAGCCTCTGACCTCAGAGGGCTTTAGCTTCCAAGGTCCCTAAATAGGCTTTATTCTAATTTTCAGCCTCATGTTCCATGATATTCTTGCTGACTACTCAACGCACACACATGCACGTATGCACGCACGCACACACACAGTGGGCTGTAGCGACACTGGTCTTCTTACCACTTCTCTGCTTGCATTTGAATCTCATGACTCTGACTTTTGTACAGTTTGCCTCCTTTGCCTTCATCAAATCCTCTACCTCCTTCCTCCGTATTAAAATCTAACTCATTCTTCAAAAAGCAATTAATACCTCCTCCCAAAAGCCCCCAGTTGAATTGAATCATGTTATCTTTTGTGATCTCATAGCCCTTCTTCAGCACCTTTTTATTTATTTATTTTTGGTACCGGGGATCAAACTCGAGTCCTTGCGCTTGCGCAGCAGGCGGCAAAACCACTGAGTTAAATCCCTGGCCCAACACCTTTTTAAAAATGTCTTTTGGGCCGAGGATTTAGCTCAGTAGTTCTGCCGCCTGCCTCGCAAGCGCAAGGACCCGAGTTTGATCCCCGGTACCAAAAAAATAAATAAAAATTTAAAAAATAAAAATATGCCTTTCATTCTGTCTTTTTAAAAAGTATTTGATTTTCTGAGGGGAGAAGAATAGAGTGGAAAAAACACAGGGTTTCAAGGCAGAGAGATTGAGTTCAGATTCTGGCTTCCCACTTACTCACCTTGGGTAAATATCTTCCCTCTGTTTCTTTACCTGTAAAGTGGAAATGATAACAGCCTGATCGATCTTGTTGGGTTGTTTGAGCATCAAGTAAATAATACTCACTTGAAAGGGGAAAAAATCACAATTGTCTTATTTCTAATTTCCCTGCTACCATCACTCTTTCCATATACACATGTACCCTGCTTGTGAGAAGGGTGGGTTCTCTGCCATACGGCTCTGCATAAGGAGACTGAGCCAGGCGAGGTAGTTCACACCTGTAATCCCAAGCAGCATGGAGGCTGAGGCGGGAAGAAAGCCTGGGGAGTTTTGCAGGGTGCTATCTCAAAATAGAAAAGGCTAGGAATGCTGCTCAGGGGTAGAGTTCTTGCCTATGATGTAAAAGGCCCTGGAGTCCATCGAGAGAGAGAGAGAGGACAGAGACAGAGAGAGACAGACATAGAGGTGTGAACATGTTTTCAATTCTTCTGGATATATATTGAGGGTCATATGGTAACTTATTTATTTATTTATTTTGTACCCAGAATCGAACTCAGGATCTAGCACTCACCAGGCAGGTGCTGTGCTGCTGAGCTACATCCCTGACCCTGTGTTACCTTTTTGAGGAACCTTGAAACTGTTTTCCAAAGCAGCACCATCATCTTACATGCTGACCAGCACTGTATGAATGTTCTGATTTCTTCTCCCTGTCAGCACTTGTTATTACCTGCCTTGTTTTAGCCATCCTAGAGGGTGTGAAGTGGTAGCTCACCGAAGGTTTGATTTGCATTTCCTTCTTGACTAGTGATGTTGAGCATGAACTGCCAGCTTTTTGGTAGGCTTTTTTTTGGTGCCACCAGCTATGAGTTCCCTCTAGAAAGTCTCTCCTGGGTTCCTGTTCACCTCCTGCCCGAAATGAGCAGTTATTTTTGCCTCTTGGAGGTTGATGGGTCCCTCCTTAGTGTGATGCTTTGGGAGGGACCACAGGCAGGCTCCAGGGCCAGGCATCTGTGTGTCTAGGATTCAGTGCACATACTCTTTCGGTCAGCAGGTCTGATTGCCGTGAGGCTGGCACCGCCAAACTGCTGGGACAAAGCCAGCGCCTCCCAGGATACCTCAGTAGGTGAGATCCTGGTTCTGGAGTGGAAGCTATGGAGAGCCATCTCTCCATCCTGCAGCAAGACAGACCCCTTCCTTCCTGCCAGACGATGAAAAATCTGTAACTTATTCCTAAATATTCCTCCATAAAGAAATTCTGCTGGCCTCCTTTACCACCAGCCAGTATTTTCCCAGCCTTTTGTGTTGAAACACGACTCCCTGTGACCCAGATCCCCCCTTCTGCAGCATGTGATGACTCCTTCTCAGAAGACATGAGAGAACACTGCTCCCTTGGAGGGGCTTTACCGGCTGGTCAGACGGAACCGCTATGGCAGACAGCCCACATGTGAGGATGTGCAGACCAGGCAGGCCCTCCAGCGCACTTTGTTTTTTGGTACCGGGAATCAAACTCAGGACCTCATGCTTTTGAGGCAGGCACAGTGCCACTGAGCTGAATCCCTGGCCCCCTCCAGCACACTTTGAAAACGGAATGACTTTGTCCCTTGGCTGTTGCCTGGGCAGCCTGCTTTGAAACAGAGACTTTCTGACAGGCACAGGTTGTGTATTTACCCTGAGGCTGGACCACTCCACACTCATATTTCAGAGGTTGTGTCCAGCGAGCTCATGGGCGGTAATCAAATCCAGGTGGGGACCATCTGGCCGGGACTCTCCCTTCCTGGCAGCCGAGTGAGGGCTGGACTGCCCACTGTGGAGATGGCCCCAAGAGCACCCTGTGTGGAGACAGATGATGCTCACGTGTGTGCCTGTGTGGGTGCACACTCGTGTGTGTGTGTACACGCAGCTCTCGTTAGGTGCTGCTATGTGGATATGAATGATTCAGTGACCTCCGTCTGCATCTAAGGGTTCTCCCCGTTTTTAGCCCACAATGAACATAATCCTTTTAGTCTGTTTCTCGAGTTTTTGTGGTTAGAAATCATGTAGTTTCCTTGGCCCAAGATGAAAGCACTGGAATAACGGTCTAATATGTTTTATATAGCTGCCTCTAATTGGTGGGTGCTTGAAGTCTTCCCTTTGCCCTAGTGACCCGGCTCCTTTTGCAGAGTTTTAGGGTCAATGTTTCATCACCCCCAGGTTTTCACATCCCTTCCAAACCTGGAACCGCACCAAAGGCAGCCTTTGTGGCCTCAGTTTGTGTAGTTCTACCCTGATCCTCGCCATGCTTCAGTGACCCCAAACAGGGCAGCGTGGCAAGGAAATGAAATAACTTAAGTGCTATCACTGCCAGCATCTTCTAGCCAGATCTCCAGAATTTCACACTTACATCCTCCAAATGGATTCTGCTTCCTACGTTGCTAGATAACCGGAGAAAATGCAACCTATGGATACTTCTTTAAAATACAGTTGGGTTTGACTTGATCATGTCTAAGGATTCCTTTTCAGTTTGGAAGAGATAGAATTTGGGATCTCGGAGGTGATCTTCGCCTGCATAGTGCGGAAGGGCTGGCTTCACCCTGGGGACACAAAGCCGTGGCCAGGACTTGGGATCGATTTCTTCAGTCTCTCAGCTGGCCCTCTAGGGATGATGATGGTGAAGGCAAGATGCCATGAGGAGGTCCAGGCCTGGGCCTTGGCTGCATGGGCAGCCCTTGAGCGCTCTTCTGTGACCTGTTTAGGGAGCTTGGCTGGCAAGGAAGTGTTGGCTGTCATCTTAGTTTATGGTTTGTATTTGTATGCTGGAGAGTTTACACCTGTACAGTCACTGTGGCTCATGTTTGCACAAGATATAATTACTGAAAATTATAGCATGAACATATTTTACCTTTTAACCCTTCCCATGCTGGCAAGCCTCAGGAACTCTCAGGACCTGCTGCCCCATGCCTTCCTGACCTGTGGAGGTGTGGCACCCCAGCAACCAGGGCCAGGCTCTGATCCACACCCTTGCCACCACTACAGGGTCTTTCTTGAGAGTTGGGAACCCCAGCAGCAGGGAGGGAACCGTTCCCAGCTTGTCTCATTGTCACTGTGAGGACCTGGGGCTGCAGAAGCCACAATCCTCACTGTTGTGGGCCCTGGAGATAAGAAGGGAGGCAGGCTGTGTTTCTTCCAGGGACGTGACTGATGTGCGGTCATGGAGAGCAGTGCCAGTGGATGTGGGCATGTGGGATGCTGGCTTTTGGGAAGAATAAGGGTCACCAGCATTCAGCCTGCTTTGAGAGCTCTCACATCCCGACTGACGGTCACGCCCTTGAGGGTGGAGTGGGGGCTCTTGGCCTCAAGGAGCACATGGGCTTCTTGGCTGCTCATGACACTGTCTTGACGGAGTGAAGAGCGTGGGTGAGGAAGGTTTCCAGTGATGGCCTCCATCATATAGAAAGGAATGCTCTGGAACCACAGACCCTGGACCTCCTAATTCAGTGCCAGTGGGGTGTTTGGTTGGCTAGCCTAGGACTGGACATGCACTGCTGCGGGTAGGCGAGTGAGGCAGGAGTTCTGCTTCCCGGCCAGGCTTTCCCAGCCCCTTCCCCTCTCAGGGCTCACACTCTGGGAAACTGAGTAGAGAGTTTGCATGCTGAGGCCACCACACAAAACAAGCGCTTTCATGAGACTACCAGATAGCTTTTCCTATGGTAGTTGAACTTTTTGCTTTTTATTCCTTTCAGGTTTACAGGAACAGATGGGCCTAGTGGTTTTGGCTTTGAGTTGACTTTTCGTCTGAAAAGAGAAACTGGGGAGTCCGCTCCACCAACATGGCCAGCAGAGCTAATGCAGGGCCTGGCCCGATATGTGTTCCAGTCAGGTAAGAGCCCAGGGGCTGGCTGATGTGCCAGTCCTGTTGCCAGGAGCCTGGTTGGGAACTTGCAGGTACACTTTGATGTCTGCAGTGTCTTTTTCCTGGGAGTACTGTACCCCTGCTGTTCAGTGAGGCTGGCTTGTTTTGCCTGGTATTCTCTAGGTGGAAAGCTTCCTGGGGCACAGCAGAGGGATATGTCACTATGCCCCCCTGCTCCCAGTGGTCTGGCTGTCCCTGTTTCTCTTCTCTTCCCTCCCCTCCCCTTCTTTCTTTTATACAGGGTCTTACTTTGTAGTTCAGGCTGGCCTTGCACTCATCACTTACCCCAGGCTGGCCTCACACTCAGGGCAATCCTCCAGCCTCAGCCTCCTGAGTGCTGGGATCACAGGTATGTGCATCACCATGTCTGACCTGCCCCTATTTCCGAGGCTACAGGCACATAGGCTAATCTTGGCTCGGTCTTGGGTAACAGCAGAGGGTGGGGTAGAAGAGAAGGAAATGCCAGAACTTGCTGCCCTGCAGGGTAAAGGGAAGTTAGAATCAGGCAGGGCCTGAATAGTCAGAAGTGTTGTTTGGCCAGGTGTGATGACACACACACCTGTAATCCCAGCAGTTGGGAGGCTGAGGCAGAAGGATTGTTATAAGTTTAAGGCCAGCCTGGGCTACATAGTGAGACCTAGTCTCAAAAAAAAAAAAAGTGTTGTTTGATTCAGTTGATTCACATGCCCTCCAGAGGATTGTCCTTTGCTCCTGGCTGCCCATGAGGACTGCAATGGGGACCCTAAAATGGGGGCTTTGTGTAGGAGACCTCGACCTCACTCTCTGGGCTCAGACTGCCTGTATCCGCAGTGGGATGAAAGGCTGAGTGAATTTGGTACATTTCCTTGACACTTCATATTACCTGAATGTTTGTGTGGCTAATGAGTTGCTCAGAAGCACTTTTTAAGTGACCTTCAAATGAAGGCTGAAATTCTTTCTCCTAGCTTTTTTGTTCCCCGAGTGTCATAGCTACATGCAGAGCCATATCTTAAGCCAGTGGCCTTCAGGGTGTGTTCCGCAGGCCTCTTGCACCTGAAGACTCTATGGACCTTGTTGTAAACACATATTTTGGACCCCATGGAGACCTTGGACTCAGAATCTTGATGCTTCTGGTAGAGTCTGAATTTGGAAAACCACAGATTTGGTAGATTCTGTAGGTGCAGTGGCTTTTTTTCTTTTTTTTTGGTACCGGTGATTGAACTTGGGACCTTGAGCTTTGGAGGCAGGTGGTGGAACCACTGAGCTAAATCCCTGGCCCATTTTTTTTTTTTTTTTGAGACAGGGTTTTACTATGTAGTTCAGGCTGATCTTGATCTTGAACTCACTTTGTAGCCCAGGCTGGCCTTGAACTCTTGGCAATCTTTCTGCCTCAGCCTCCCAAGTGCTGGGATTACAGGCATGTACCACCACACCCGGGGATACAATGGCTTTTTAAAAGCCTCAAATAGGTTATATTTTGGGGATACAGTAGACCTGTCTGTTGAACCCTTGCATCCTCACCCAAGTGAGACCTCTGGGAGTTGGTTCTTCGCAGGGTGGCTGCTGTATAAGGAGACGGGACTATAGCTGCTGTGCACCAGCTTGCGTCTCAGGAGACACTGTGGTCCTCTCTTGGGGGCTGCAGAGGGTCTTCTTCATGCCGATCCCCACAGCCCCTGCCGAGCTCTGAGTCAGACCCTGGAGGCCGGCGGGTATCCCTTTCCTCACCGGCTTCTGGGGGAGACTGGTGCTGGTCTGTGCAGGGTGGGGCCCTGGGGGACGTCAGCGGAGAAGTGACACAGGTGGGGACAGGCTGCCTGGGGCGGCTGGCTCGTGTGTGCAGGTTGGCACCGTCCCACTGCAGGGTGCAGGTCTTCTAAATCTACCACCTGAGCCTTTGTGCCCCACTGCTCCCTGCTTGCTTTGTTACGCCTACAGTGGACTCTGCAGGGAAAGTGGACTTCTCATGACACGAATTTGATTGCTATGGGAAACAGGCTCCGAAGACCAGGGAACATCCCGTGTGTGAACAGCTGAGTGCCCTGCCTGTTGCTGAAGCCAATGCATTCATATGGGTGCCTGCTCATGTAGACAGAGAAGAGAAAGGTGAACTAGGTGTCAGGTGAGGAACTTCTGCAATCCGTTGTGAGACAGTTCTGTAAGTAAAATCCAAGGAAGTGAGAAAGTGGATTTGATTCGCAAGGGTTTACTTCACCCACACAGTAAACATCACTGGTGATCATTTTGTAGTTATTAATGGTGAATGTTGATTCTGGCAAAGAATATCAATGGTTGCTAAAACTTGGGTAAAGAAGGTTTTTGGGGAACAAGATATTCACAAGGACTGAAAAAGAATCATTGTACAGACTACTCAGGACCTTGTGCTTGCAAGGCAGGCTTGGTGCCACTGAGCTAAATCCCTGGCTTCTTTTTTTTTTTTTTGTACCAGGGATCGAACTCAGGTCCTTGTGCTTGCGAGGCAGACGGCGGAACCTCTGAGCTAAATCCTCAGCCCACTTTGTTGTTTTTTGCGACAGAGTTACTATGTACTTCAGGCTAGCCCCAAACTTGGTGTGTAGCTCAGGCTGACTTTGAAATCATGATCCTCCTGCCTCCTGAGTGTGGGAATTACAAGCGTGCATTACCACATGAGACTTTGCTGTTTTTGTGGTGCTGAGGATTGGGCCCTGGGCCTTGTACATGCTACCACCAAGCTGCACCCCCAGCACTCACTGGAAAAGTTTGAGTGGACATCACCCTAACCAGATGATCAAATGTAGCAACACTAATAATGAACAAATTAATTTTACATATCTCATTATGTGTTGCAGTGTGACATATGAAAGGAAACAACAACTAAGTTGGACTTCTCCGAAAATGTTAAATCTAAACCTATTGTTGAAGAGTCAGACAAGTCTAGATTGTGGGATGTTTTATGACAGCTGCTTGAATTCTTCAAAAATGTCAGGGCTAGTGGGCCGGGGATTTAGCTTAGTGGTTCTGCCGCTTGCCTTGCAAGTGGAAGGACCCAAGTTCGATCCCCGGTACCAAAAAAAAAATGTCAGTGCTGTGAAAGACAAGGCCAGGGCATTGCCCTAGATCAGTGACAGTGAATCTTTTAGAGACTGAATGCCCAAACTGCAACCCAAAGCCCATTTATTTATTGCAAAGTGGCAACACTGCAATTAAACCTGAATACTGAGATTTAGTTTAGAAAAAAGAACTCACACATCAATATCTTTTGTCTTAAAAGAAAACCATAGTGGGCTGGGGATTTAGCTCAGTGGTTTCGCCGCCTGCCTAGCAAGCTCAAGGACCTGAGTTTGATCCCTGTTACCAAAAAAAAAAAAAGAAAACCATAGTAACATATGTGCTATAGGTTTGCCACCACTGCCCTAGATTAAAGGAACCATGACAGTTTAACATGCTGTGTGATCCTAGATTGGATTGAAAAAAAAGCTCACTTGTAGAGCAGTTGGAAAAATAAAAATGTAGACTGTTTATTGGGTAATGATACTATACTACTGTGAAGTCTTTGGGTAGTATGGCTTGACCAGAAAATATCCTTATTCTTAGTAGATAAGGGCTACTGATGTATTTATGGATAAGATGACATCAAGTCTGCAACTTAGTTGTCAAATGATTCAGCAAAAAATAAAAAGCTTGGCATGGTGGCACACACCTTCAGTCCCAGCATTTGAGAGGCTGAGGCAGGAGAATCACCATGAATCCAAGGCCAGCCTGGGCTACATAACAAGACCTGTCTCAAAAAACAAAACAAAAAGTCAGTCAATAAAATAAAACTTATGTGGAGAGGAGAGAAAATGAAATGGAAAATGTTAATAGCTGGTGAGTCTAGATGGAGGATATTTCATTATTCGTTGTACTGTCCTAACTTTTCTATAGGATCGGAAATTTTCATAGTAAAACTTCAGGGTTTTTCTTGAATGTGTGTTGACGAATGTGTGCTTGGCGCTTTCTTCCACACCAGTACCCTCTCTTCCAGTGTCACTAATGTGACCACTGGCTTGTGGCTGCAGATCATGTTAGATACTTCAGAAGAGGGCAAGATGACCGATGCTTGGTGTGACAAGAGTGTGGTATTCAAATAATAAATAATCAGATCTTTAAGTTCTTTTTGGAACATGGCAAGGAATACTAGTAAGTTATTTAAAAAATAGGAACATGATAAAGAAAAGTAAATGATAAGTGATCTTCAGGTAGGAGACCGCCAGGGATGGTGGCACATGACTCTAATCTCAGCACTCAGGAGGCTGAGGCAGGAGGATTGCTGCAAGTTCAGGGCTAGCCTCAACTACAACAAAAAAGCAAAGCAAAACAAGGTAGGGTACCATGGCTAAGGGATTAAGATCAGAGCTAAGTGTACTGTATTGTATGCTAGTCACCATTGTATGTGCATTTTGCCCCGCTGGTACTGGGGATCGAACT